GCTTAGGGCGATAGGTTAGGGTAAATAAATATAACTTAACTTAATTAATCGGCGGAAAGCTACTAAGCAATACCGCAGCTACCTAGAGTAAAGATAATAATTAGAGAATAATAGCATTATAGCTTCAGGCTATACTTAACTTTATACAAGACTTATAATAGTTTAAGAATAGAGATAATCCTACAGCATAGAACCTCTACACTACTATCCCCTCCTACCCTACTATCCGCTCCCGTTACCTTCCTTTTTCCTCCCAGATTAACAAATCACATGTAAACTAGTAGCAAAACTCTTGAATAGTCGTAGCCTACATATCGCTCAGGGCGATAGGTCAGGGTAAATAAAAACAACTCAACTCAACTCAATCATAGAGTTATACCGTACGCTCACGATAATTCGCCGTTACTAGAGGCGCTCGAGTTCCGCCTCCTTATAAACTACGCGACTCTAAACAGCCTACATACCCGCTTTTCTAAATATAATACCGAGCTACTAGTCGAGTAACGTCTCCTATAGTATACGGGACTCGTAGAGGTTCGATAGTAGCGGGCGCGGAGCCCTATTAAAGCTATATATAGATTATCTAGAGCTAGCGACGATAACGTAGGGACAAGATAAAGGGTTATTCAGGAAGGAAAACGCTAGGTAGTAGGCTACGGGGTTAATTTATACACGGACATAGTAATATTAGCGCGTTACAGTACGCGCGCGCCTTTCGCGATAGACTACCGTCGCCTTCACCTTCACCTTCACCTTCACCCGTTCGCTACATATTACCGTGAACCGCAGTTCCATCGCCTACCGCCGCTATAACCCTCCCTCACCTACCGTCTTAACCTTCGTCTGCGATATCGATCCGCATACCTATCTATACCGTACCGCAGCGGCGCCGCTCCGACGAGCATAGGCATGGAAGGCTTATTGTTATAATAAGAATACGAGACAGTTAGAGGTGGCTTGCAGTCCAGAAACAGAAAACTATACCATCCGGAATTTATCAGTCAAGGAAGCCATGATTCTGCACGAACAAACAATAATAGAAATTCTATTTCGTCTTCGCCCGTATTGCTGGACCACAAGCTTAACATATCCTTTTCCACAAAAGCAACGTAGCCCATATGTTTATGCATGCCAGATACTAGAGTAAAAAACAACAGAAAACCGGCCCCCCGACATAGCGAAACTGCGAAACAAGTTGCATAAAAACAAGAATGGTGTGGTGGTCCCATATCCAACTACGATGTTTCTGCGCTTGAAGCTTGTTTCGCAAGCTTTTCCGTGGTGAGCGCAGGGTTGAGAAGGTTCAGAAGGGATAATTTTGCCCCAAAGGTGCTTGCCAGCCATGCCCTCAACTCCGCAGCTACAAGGCTGTCTATGCCATAAGAGTTTATGGGCTGGGTTGCATCTATGTTAGCAGTTGGGATGTAGAGGAGTCGGGCGAGTTTCATGCGTATGACCTCAGCAGGATCGTTTCCAAGAGCTTCGGCACTGGTGTGATCGGCGGAGTTGCTGGGCGCTGAAGCCGCCTGAGCAAAGGCCACGACAAGTGCTGCAAATCGCGGATCTTTGGCCCAAGCCATGTTGTTGACCGGGTATCTTGCGTCCCGGGAAAGAAGATTGTGTGGTTCTGGAACAGCGACCAAGCTCGTGTGAACTGCCAGTTGCTCGGATTCTACGTCATCACCGTGGCCTTCCCGCATGGCGGCCTCGCATAGGGCAAGGAACTCTTTTTCAGTGATTCCAGCCAAACCTTGTTCCAAAAGCTGACCCTGGCTTTCTGGTGGCATGGCGTTGTTGTCAATGTCCAGGACATGGTTGGTTCCCAATAATGTAGCTGGGAATCCCATCTTCCGCCTGAAGCTGGCGAAACTTTCGAGTATGGCCCACGAGATTGTGGACGGACCATTAAGGGGTGATCCGAGAGCGGGACCCAATGGACTGAGCATGAGGAAGAAGTCTACAGGATCCCTCAGATTGCGGTGAGTGAACAAACAGGAGTCGAATGTCTGCTGAAAGGTATCGAACATGTTCGCGGCATCCGTCTTTCCTGGAACAGTTTTCTGCACGACACGAATTAGCAAGCTTTGGCGAAGATATCCAGGGAGTACTTACGCCTTGAAGTGTTGAAACGTGCACCACCCCGCGAATCGGTAACTTTGACGATTGGATGCCATTCACCACATCGATCTCATTCGCGAATGGTAGAACAGTCACATGGATCCCTGACGCTAACGCAGCGTCAATGGAAATGTCTGTTTCCCTTCCTGGTCCGCAGAGCACAGTGAAACTGGTTGCTCCATTGTTCGCCATCCATTTGATCAAGCTTATAGTGATGCCATCGGGATCTCCGATCAGGAGGTATGATGCGTCCGAGTAAAGGATGGGCGTGGGACACACTGATTGTTTCTCGATCTTCTTTCTGTCAGCTTATAGTCGTATGTAATGTATGAGAGGAGGACGGACCTGCAAGGTGGCTTCTGCATTATCACACCTCACAATGGCATCGGAAATGCCAATCGGGCGACTGAGCATAGATATAACCTTTTCCATGTCTGATATCGGATACGTCTCGGAGCTCGGCAGCCAGGTTGGTCCTTCACTTAAGAACGCCTTTACGTGTGGCAAAAGGCTGCAATACTGTTATTCGAATCTTCCGCAGCAGTACAGAATAAAACTCACCTAGTAACGGCTTCCTTGTCCTCTTGCACAGATTCCAGATCTAGAAATACTAGCTTCAGATTCCTTCCGAGAGACGTGAGATGGTAGTCGCCTGGGTTTTTAGGTCCTCCCAGAATCACGACACGACCGAAGTCCGCGGCGCAGGGCAAACATTCCCAGGCGGTCTCTGTAGTAGAGAGAACCAAATCGAATCGGAAACCTTGTGTTTCTAATTCCTGAGTAGATGCGTATATGTTGTCACCGCAGATTCCTGCAGCTATCATGTCGTTTTTGGCATTGTCATCATCTACAACAGCATAGATTCGCGCCTTATACTCGTTAGCTCTGCTACGACGATATGCCATATGAATGAAGTTGTGTTACCGTTTTGGCATATTGTCTCGCAACCTGGCAAGCAATAACAGCCTTGGCAATGTGGGAATGCCGGACGAGGATAGACTATATGCGCTTCAGATTACAAATATGTAAGCTTATATGGGTACTTTTACTTACACTCGGGTTTTTGGAACCACCAAACGCATCGCTCAGTGCACACAGCACTGCGTAACAATGAGATGGGAGTGCAGCCATAGTCTGCGTTACGTTAGACGGCATTCAGAGTCTATAGCGAAGACTTACCGAGAGACAATCCATATTCTTCGGCAGCGTCTGGCAAAGCGTTTGTCTGGTTTTCACCACGGTACGGAATGGACCGTTGCTGAGGCCAAACACGTAATCGCCGGTACGGAAGGCTGTGACCGCAGTACCTACTCTCCTTACAACTCCGACAAAATCGGCAACATGATGCTTGAACACGTTGTCATCCGTCTAACTATGTAAGCACTTGTTCAGCTTCCTGGGGGTTAGGGATAATTCTACCTTCCGCTCTAGTCTCGCAGCATGTGTCTCTACCTCTAGATCATCTGCACCCAGAATTTCTGAGCCATTCATGTCGGCGTCGAACACGGCTAAAGCAGAGTACTCCTTATCGTAATCTTTCAGCGTAAGGGGCCTTTGCCAAATATTGACGTCCTTCTCGATGACATTTGATGACAGGTCCTCGAATTTTTCACCAGCGATATCACTAAGCAAGTCGTCTTTCTGGAGGCGAGAGACATAAACGACACCAGAATCGATCCGAAATCTGTTATCAGCGTTCGAGGTGTAGGAGAATGCGCGGTTCTCCAACACAACCAGAAGTTCGAACTCTTTATCGCTAAGATTGGCTTTGGCATCCAGATCCAGAGAAACAAGGCGAATGGCTTTTCCAGAACCGTAGAGGGACCGCAAAAATTCCCCAGCGGACGCATAGATTGCTGATTTACCTTCTAGCGTGCCGCCGCAAGCCACGCAGAGTAGGGAGTGCGCGTGTTCAGCGAGCACGTTGAGGTTCCGCAGTTCTTCTGAAGTGAGCTGTTCTTCGTGGTTCGCAAAGAAGACGACGCGCTGATTTGACGTCAATGTGGCTGTGACTGCACTGAGAGGTACTAGCTGGCCCAGTCGGCCAGCCTCGCGGAGGTGGTCGCAAAACTCGTTGATGAAGTTTGTCGAAATGCCCTGGTGAACCAACAAAAGCTTTGTTGGTGAAGTGGGCTCTAGCAAGAGGCTCGGCTCGGGGCTTGCGGCCGTTGCAACAATTATTCCAGCTTGCCGGAGCTCATCGAAATTGTCCAGCATAAAGTCTATGCCTTTGAAGCCGGTCCGTGGCAAGACTTCTCTCCAAATTTTGCGGGTCAAGAAAGGCCCATCGAGTCTCCTATAATGAGGGTCCTGATCACCGTTCCAGAAATCCGAGAAAGTCCCCAAGATCATGTTCCATGCTGGCCGTGCTGTCGAGAAGTTAGAGTTTAGCATATGTGAAATAAGAGGAGTTTATATTACGCTGTAGCAGTTCGAACATTACCAGCTTCCCTCCCGGCTTCAAAAGGCGGCGAACATTGTTCAACGTGGCGGTTATATTCGTCGTGGCGTGGATTACCTACGTGAAGTGAGACAAGGCAATTGACTAAAACAGGATATCGATACTTACATTCGACGCGATGACGAGATCATAGTCCGGCCCGAATCCCTGCTGAGCAACATCTTTTTGCATATTGAACGGAGCATAACGCACTCCATTGAATTTGGCGAAAGCCTCCTCAGCCGCAGCAAGAAATGCCGTTCCTATGTCGGTAAAGACATACTCGCTGTAGCCGCGGAGCTCACTGTTGCCCCTGAGTGCAGGAAGAACTTCTCTGGTTGCACTTCCGGTGCCGCCTCCAATCTCAAAGATACGGATGCTAGGGTTCTTGTGCGATATCAAAGACACCACATCTCGTAAAAGACGAGTCCCGTCTTGATAGAGCTTCATGAACTCGTAGAACTCGTCAAGGTACCGGTGCTGCACGGCCACCTGGATACCAGAGACTTCGCCGTTGTATATGGGCGCAAGGTTTTCGTACATGTGACACATCAAGCGCATCTCGGGGCCGTACTGAGCCGCCAAATCATGCTGCATTGAGTGAAGCGCTTTCCTTCGTTCCTCAACGGAGACATTCAAGAGGCTAGATCCAATGAGGGAGGGATCCCGTTGTATGAGGTCATATTTCTCAGTCATCCAATCCAAGAACCGCTGAAGATGTGGGACCGATGACCCTCGAGCAAATGTCTCTGCATATTCCTCCCGAAACTGAACGACTTGCGCAAAGGCTAGGCGATCGAGTAGCGGCAGTTGCTCGTCTTTCATTTGGCTGTGGCTTGGTGGGAAGAGCCGATCGAGTGCGGCATCAGTCAACAGACTGACATCTGGCTTCCACACCATCCGTGAGATGCACGTAGTCATTTGATCAGGAAGGCCACCAGTGCCAGCTGCGAGCATTTGTACACCGGACGCGTGTACCAATACACCATTACAGTTGTTCAGTGCAAGTGTGGCCTCGATGCTTCGCTTATCGTGCAAGGTGGCGCGTGCCATTCCACACGCAGATGTCCCTTTGGCGCCAGATGCCGAGATAGAGAAGCTCTCGATGGAAGTGACCATGAAGGAAGTTCGTAGGATGCGGGTCCCGTGCGCTGCTACGATGGCGAGGCGAAACAACGGGTCGATAGATACCGGATGGACAGCGTAACGCGCTCCCAACATCGGCCTGTCTGCAAAACGCAAGGCAATCTCTCCGAAAGCGCATGGACTGTTCTTGCCCACCTTGACATCCGAGATATTTCTGAGCGCTGGGCCATAAATTGCGCCAGCTGCCTCTTGAGCATCATAGAAATGAGCCAAGGAGACTGGGACATGCGCATCTGACTGTTCTATTGGCTTCCGTAATGTCGACTCTGTGAGAAGGATTCGACCATGAGCGTGCTCAGTGAAACGATCCTCATCCACCGAGGTTACATGGAAGGCATAGTCCGAGCCACGCGCCCTCGACGGATACAAGCTGAAGAGGACCTCGATCCCCTCGCTAGTGTCCGGAACTACCAAGGCAGACGAAATCTTTACATCCTTGAGCGTAATTGTGGTGGCGCCAGTCGCTGTCCGATTTTGTAATTCCATCATCTGCATCGCCGCTTCAGCTGCCATGCACAAGTAGGCAGGTGTGGGAACGACGATTTCGGAATCCATCTTGTGGTCGCGCAGCCAAGGCAGATCATTCTGTCGCAATATGTTCCGCCACATGGGAGCGGTTTTGTCACCGCCGGGGAGACGCGTGCCTAGGAGTTCATGGCGTGGATGAGTTCTCAGCCGGTGTTCCCGGTTCCAGCGGTTCTCGCGATAGAGGAGCTCGCCGTACTGCCACTGGTAACGGGGCAGGTCCACAATTGTGGAGCCGAAAGAAGTCTTGACTGTATCACCGACCAGCACTTGGGCAGCATTCACTTGGCGGAGGTCGACGTTGGTGCCTTGAGACCACAGGAAACCCGCCAGATATAGCAGGTTGATGGCGCCGTTGGTGTTACGCGTGAGCGAGGGAACATACTGACACGACTGCGAAATCTGCCTCAAGGGCCCCTGGAGCGCTGAGTGCGGTCCCACCTCAACCATATGACTGACTTTCACGATTTGTGTCGCTTTGCGGACAGCCTGGTCAAATTGGACGGGTGATTCCAAATTTGCTCGCCAGTATTTGGCATCAATGCTCGTCTCTCGTCCCGTGGCGGTGACGGTGACAGAGGACACGAATATACAGCGCGAGGGTGTTTGCCTGCACAGCTCTGAAGGAAGCTTGAGCAGCATGCTGCGGAGTTCCGTCTCGTACGCGGCGCCGACTGTCTCCATGTGCTTGGAATGGTATGCGTTTCCGTCGGTCGACAACACTCGTGCAAAAACTCCATAGTCGTCAAAGGCTTGCTTCAACGCCACTATTTCGTCTTTGTTGCCGCTCAAAGTGAGGCTCTTGGGAGAGTTGTAGCATGCAATGGTGACAGAGGGATAGGAGTCCAGCATCGGTTCGACATCTTTGGCGCCCATGCCAACGGCTAGCATTGCGCCGTCTGCGACATTACGAGCCACCGCCCGCCCCCTGGCGTACGCTGCGACAATTGCTTGAGCCAACGTGATGTGTCCCGATGCGTACGCGGCAGCGATCTCCCCTAGGTCTGGTCAGCAGAGGATTGCTTTACGCAGTGGTGGGAAAAGTTACCTGACGAATGCCCCACAACCACCGACGGCCTGATCCCCCACGAGCCCAACAGGTCAACAAGCGCAATTTGAACTGCAGTGGTAAGGGGTTGCGAAAACTCGGCATCGTAGACCTTGCTTGACTCCTTCGCACGGAGAGACCCTGCGAGCATGTTAGGATTAGTTGCTGAGCTTTATAGCTGTGCAGATGACTTGCCTTCAATGGTCCAGGTCGGGGCATGATCGAGGGTTGCAAGCACCTGGTCTTGTCGGCGGATTGATCTGAGATATATTGCAAAATTATCCATCAGTGGAAGCCCCATTTGCGGCCACTGGGCTCCTTGGCCTAGTAATGATTAGAACGACACCGAGAGTCCAAAATGAATCATGTATGCCACTTGCCTGTGAAACAAAACGCAACCTCGGGGTTTACGGAGCCAGTAACCCTGTGAACAGGCATACTTTCCGCGTCCAGAGTATCTGATATGCGACCGCGTTCAGCAACGGCAAACGATCGCAGAGGAAACACAGTCCTGCGGCAGCCGAGAGTGTATCCCAGATCCACAGGATCCCATCGACCGGCCTCTCGCCGAAGAGCGTCAACATTGGCGTGCATGGTTTGCTTATCGTGAGCTGAAAATGGCAGTAATACGTACTTGCGGCCTAGAAGCGCGTGATCTTGCCGCTCATCTCTGGACGGCGCCTCAAGGATGACATGGCCGTTGGCCCCGCCGTATCCAATTGAGTTTACACTCGCACGCCGGACAGCAACGTTTGGCCATGTCGTAGTATCTTGTACGATATGAAGGCGGCCATCATGCAGGTCGACTACAGCCCGTACCGTTAGCATTCTTTGGAAAAACGAATTGGTGGTCGCGACTTACCGTTTGGATTCAATTGAGTGAGGCGGCGGATGGGGGGGATCACGGCATGCTCAAGGGCCAGAACGCTCTTCATAATCCCCGCGATGGCGCTCACCGGCTCACTGTGGCCCAGGTTCGTTTTTACCGCGCCAATGTGCAGCGGCGCTTTGGCGGACCTGCCACCGGCAAAAACATTTCCAACGGCCTCAACTTCGATCGGGTCTCCCACAGGAGTTCCTGTACCGTGGCACTCAAAATACGACGTCTCTGCCGGGTCTAGGGCGGCGCGGTCGTAGGCACGCATGATGTTGCTAGCCTGGCCCTGGGGATCCGGATGAGTAATGCCGCCGGTCCTTCCATTTCTGCAATAGGGTTAGCAGAGGTCTTTAAGGGCAGCAAGTTGGCAACCCACGCATTGACGGCGGTTGCCTTGATGATCGATCGGATTGGATCTCTGTCGCGGATGGCCTGCTTTAGGCTTTTGATGTATAGGACGCCAACCCCATCCGCTCTCGCATACCCGTCCGCCGACACGTCAAAGGTGTTGCACCTAGAGTTCTTAGACATTGTCCCCAGCGCCGATGACACCATCTGGCACTCTGGGGTGAGAATCAGATTAGAACCCCCGACTATGGCGGCGTCACAGTCTCCGGCTTGTATGGAGGAGCACGCCAAATGTAGCGCGTACATGGCTCCGGAACAGGAAGTGTCAATCGTCAAGCTGGGTCCTTTGAGATTGAACACGTAGCTTACGCGATTGCTCAGCAACGTGACTCCTCCACCAGTCATTGCATATGGGTCTGGGTACTCAATATCTCGATACTGCATGATCTGATGGTCGTTGTTGAAGCTGCCGACGAATACTCCTGTTTTGGAGCCCGAGACGCGACCCAGAGGGTCACCGGCGGATTCGAATGCCTCGTAAACCGCCTCTAAAAGCTTCTTTTGCGCTGGGTCAATACTGGCTGCCTCTCTCGGATTGATACCGAAAAAGGCGTGATCAAGCCGTCGGGGATCGTCCTTGAGAAAGCATCCGCCCCGAGCGAAGAAGGACCCGGGCCGGCGGGTATCGGGGTGGTACCAAGAATCAATGTTGAGCCGGTCGGGCGGAAATTCACTGTAAGCGTCCTTCTTCTGAAGGAGGAAGTCCCACAGTGCATGAGGTGAGTCGATGTCGCGCCCACTTTCAGTGTCACCGGGCCAGCGGCAGGCTTCGGCAGTTAGCCACGCTTCCGGGAGCGTCTGAGGGGTATAGAGTGACTTACCCATTCCGATAATTGCAATTGGCTCCACGGCAGTGGGACCGGTGCCACCATTGAGGTGGCTATTGCCATTGGCAAGCGGTTCCGCTGAAGGTGCCATTGCGATTGTCTCAGTGAACAGGACAAAAGCTCTTGTGGCTCACACAACAGAAGACAACTAACGCGTATTATATATACACGTAGAAGTTAAGTAGAGTGCAGATAGAGTGGGGGTTTAGCGATATGTCGGGGCGAGCTTGATGTATGCAGTCAGCAAGACGTGCGTGTATATTCGCGGTACTCACCCCCCGCACATTGTACGGTCCCAGTGCGTTCCAGGTCTGGATACCCCCGCAGTGGTGCGGGGAAGAGGGATCCAGACTGCGGACTCGATTGGTCTTGCCAGAGCGTAAATGAGAGGCGGCCCGTCCGCATCAAAGGCAACACCACATCATCACCAAGCCCCAGAATTACACACACGTTCAACGACCTTAATCAAGCACCATGAGTTTCGAAACCAGCGCCGAGTTTATGCCTGAGCCCTTCCCGGACAACGTGCCTGTCGCGGACCTGGCTCGCATCAGCCTGGCCAAGCTTCTGGACGATGACCAGGACGAGGCAGCGCTCTTGTTCGAAGTGTGCAAGACCAATGGATTCTGCTACCTTGATCTCACGACCCACCCAAAGGGACTTGAGCTGATCAAGGACGCCGAAGAGGTCCACCGCGCCTCGAAGGAGGCGTTTGAGAAGACTCCCATTAACGCGAAGCGGGAGTTCAAGACACGCCCGCCGGAGACGGGCCTTCTCGACACCGGGTAAGTACACCTGCGCAGGACGGGCCGAAGCTGACGCCAGCAACTGGGTGCAGGTACAGAGAGACTGGCTGTGGCGACGATGGCTTGCCGAACAAGCTCGAAATGTTCAACGTGAAGATCCCTCGTCACTCCTCGTGGCAAAAGACTGATGATGGTACAGATATCGCAAGCAGGCCTGTTTTCGGGCACCGAGGATTACAAGCTGCCGCCATTCCTGGCTCCACACGAGGACACGTTCCGCGACATTCTGAGGCGTGCTAATGTGGTGCACAATGTGATTTTGGGGACGTTGGAGCGGCAGTTGAAGCTGCCATCGGGCACGCTGACTTCGATCCACAAGCTGACCCAACGGTCGGGCGACTTTGTGCGCATCCTCAACTACCCTGCGCCCAAGGACGGCAAGCCGCTGGCCGACCCGCCCACGCCACCGCACCGCGACGCTGTCAGCGTGGCCTTCCTCTTTACCTGGCAGGGCGGGCTTCAGATCACGGCTGCGCCCAACGAGTACCGCCGCATTGACACGGCTCTCGAGGACGAGGAGAGCTGGCAGTTTGTGCGCCCGCTGCCCGGCCATGTCATCATGAACCTCGGCGACGCCCTGCACATCCTCACCAACGGTCTGCTCAACTCGGGCAAGCACCGCGTTGTTACGCCCCCCGGCCGCCAAGCTCTGCATGACCGCATCAGCGTGCTCTTGGTCGCCCGGCCTGAGGAGTCCACCCAAATGCGTACCTTGCCTAGCCCCTTGCTGCCGCCGGGCAACTACCTGCCCACTGACATGACGGCCAAAGAGTGGGGCCAGGAGAAGGTCATCCGCGTCCTCCGCTTGATGGACAACGCGAAGCACTGATCGGTTTGGACACTTCCCAGCAGCGCAATGCAACAGATTGAAACAGGGCAAAGGCTGGGGATACAAGGCAGCTCTCGGTATATTGTTTTCTTTTCAAATGAAACATCATTCTCTACGCTGCAGTGTCAGATAACGTGACGGCCCTTTCTTTTTGAGATTCTCCGTTCTGCGTGAAGGAAAGGGTGGGTTACAGGCTAGCACCAGACCAGTCGGAGAGGTTGAATACGGCTGGGTTGCAGCTAGTAGTGACAAAA